AGACCCATCTCGGGAACCTGTGGGGCGTTCGTTGGCAGTGCATGCATTGCCTACACAAAAGGGATAGTGATCAACTCGTCGTTTGGCTCATGTGCAGGAGTTCATGACCAAAAGAAAGAGGCTCCAGTCCAGAATTTCAGGTTCTTTTTTTGGGCATTTGGCGATGAGAAGTGAACTTATGAGAACCGTCGTCACCGCTGGACATCTTCCATCACAACGTGCTCCATGTCTACTTCTCTTCCGGCCCCGTGTTCTAAAAGGTCTTGCCTGTCTCTCAGCCCTTGCAAAAGATATAAAGGAAGCGGAAGAAGCTTGAAGAAATTGAGCGATGTTGGGGTCAAAAAAGGGAGTATTCCAAGGGGCCACTGTCCACTTCCATGATTGTTGCAGGGAGTGGAAAAGGCTTCACCCTCAACATCATTTGTCATGGAAGGCCCTTCCACTTGCAGTGACCACTTCCGGTCATCATATGCTGCGTTGGTCATCATGCCGGGAGGGTGGAAGGCTTGGCTTCACCCTCTCAGGACCGCCTTCACAGCGGGAAGCTTCCTGGCGCTCGCACTGAACATGGTGTTCCCCCAGGCGGGACGGGGGACGCAGCCGGGAAGGTCTTCCAGCTGCTTGGAGTCCAAAGAGGTGGCTTCCGGGAATGCCTGGTGAAAGCACGGGGAATGGTGATGTGATAGTAATTGAGTGAAATTTGACACTGCATGCTGAAGGATGTTGGAACTCAAGTTTCCTGAACAAGTTTAACCATACAGCATGCTGGTGGTAACACTGGTGTTGAATAGTGCTAGAATACTGCTCGAGTACTTGGTCAGGATTGTTTGTTTCTGTTCAAGGTTGCACCTCTTTTTGGCTCATGTCCAACATGTTGCTTTCCAAGCCAGACAAGATGGACAGATATGGACAGTGAATCCAACTTTCTCGGGTTTCACCGATGGTTTGGTCCCTACCTGTTTTGACTGCTAAGCAGCTACAGAGAAGGCCAGAACTCCAAGAACTGGTCCAAAAAGGGTGAGATGTCAGCCGACCATAGAGGTCTATATTTATAAATGTCCGGCCAGGTCACCACCTGGTCACCCGCCAAGTCTCCATTTCAGCCATTTGGGAGACCTGGCAGTGAGGGTGCTGGGTACATACGTTACATCATGTTATATAGCTATATATATATATGACTCGAATTTGCAACGTCGGCGGGGGAGTGCGACCTACCCCAACGGCTTGCGACGCCTCTCCCGGGCTCCCGGAACGCCGGAGTTCCCTTCGCGCCGCTCGGAGCCCTGCAGGTCTCCCAAACGATCCATCAGCACCACCCCAGTGCCGTCGCGCGGTTCTGGGCCAATCTGCCTGGGCCCGATCGGGTGGGAGGGCCTTTTCTGAAGAGGGTGAAGTTTCAGAAAATGCCCAACCTTTGGGGTGGTACATGCTGGCACATCAAAGGGGACACACACACACACACATATATATATATATATATTAGCCAGTTGTTGGGTTGCGATCGCTGGGTTTGCTTGGGGTTGCTAGCTCGACACGCTCAAGTGGTTGAATGTTGTAGACCCGCAAAGGGAATGCAATGAATATCAATCAGGGATATATTAAATAATTAATATATAATATGTATCAGTGTAGATTTCTCCTTGCTCCAGCGAAGGTGCATCTAGAACAAATCTTTTGAAGCCAGCATTGTTCCTGAGAGTCGTTTGTTCGACCAAACCTTCACAAGAGAGAATAGAATGGATGGCATGGATCCTCCAAAATTATGCTATTTTATTCACACTCATGTGGGTTTGTTTGAGTGCAGCTGCCCCACAAGCTTGGTGGCCTTCGCCATGGCAAGCACTCCCAGATGTCACGCCCACGCCTTCAGTTTTGATTCTCCGTCGGAGTCCGCCCCCCAGTGCTCTCCCCGAGGCTCTGTTTGGCCATCTCGGTGGCGGCGATTTGGACGTTGGTGTGGATTGGGGAGTTTGAGGCCGATTTTGAGGGCCAGTGATGCTGAAATCACTTGTGTCATGTGTAGGCAATGATGTGGCTTCATCATGCTTCATCTAGGTCCAGGGTGATGGAGGATTGTAAAGGTGATAGTTAGAGTTACACATCAGATCACATCATGGGTCAAAATCAACATCCCATTCATTTGCGACCCCTTGTGCCGGCAGAATATCATGCGCTTCGCTTCATGGCCGCCGTTTTGCCCTTTTCAGGGTGGCCACGAACACGGCCACGGTGCTTCTCACGGACATGCGCATGGACATGAACTCTGAAGCCCCTTCCTTGCAGAGAGCCGGCTTGAGGAGTTTTCGGCTGAAATGCAGAGCCAGTGGAGTCCCTTCGGGGATCATCCGATAAAATTGGAACGATACAGAGAAGATTAGCATGGCCCCTGCGCAAGGATGACACGCACAAATCGAGAAGTGCACCAATTTTTTGCCCGAGTCGTTCATTGCACGCACGCACACACACCAGACTTGTAGCTTTGCTAGTGGGCCCATGTTACAGAAGCGATAGGATCGCTGATAGAATTGCTGGGGATGCATCTCCCTGTCACGCTTGCGAGCTTAGCGATGTAGCGCAACTATTGCTGCTATGTCCTGACACCCTTACTTTAGCTTGCAGTCCAACAAAGAACTCCTGGGAAGAAAACAAAGGCATCCTCCCTGCTGATGCCGACTTGTACTCAGATCCCGCACCTCTATAGGTCTTTGAGGAGATCCTTCCACACTTTCGGTGGTAGAGGTTAGCTAGACTGTGTGAAGTAGCCGAGAAGACATCCAATGCTTGTTTGTTTGCAACGCGTTGGAAAGACATGTTCATGGACTGTCAATGATATTTTCTGTACACTTGCTTATGCAAAAGGCCATACATTATCAATTTTAAAGTTTTCCTCCAAAGTGCTCATGTGTGGGACGAAAGCGAAGCAAGTGCGACAATACCTAGTGGCAGACCACGTTTCTCCACAAACTTTTGGTGCGCGTGACGGTTAATGCCAAATAGGCACAGTGGGGAGCAGGGAGATGTGCAAGGACTAATTGCCAATATAGATAGGTCAGTTACATATTACCATCTGTGTGTTCATTGTGGGTGTATGTGGGAAGCTTGTCTTGATACAATGGTGTCCTCCCAACTGGGGGCAGTCCTTCAAAGGTAGCGGATCCTTTTGATCAGCCCAGGCTGTCACTCTGCCTTGGTGGGAAGGCACGGTTTTTGCCGGCAGATGTTAATCCAAGAGGTGTGGAATGTATTAGAAACACTTATTGGAATGTAAACAGTCGCCAACAAAAAGTGGTGCGTAGTTGGGTGCTTTGCCACACCAGACTCAAATCCTAGCACGGACAACGGGGCTGGAAGGATTCTTTGCCACCTACTTCTCACCTACACTCAACGTGTGTATTTGCAAGTGGGAATGCCAATTGGCAGCACAGTGCTTGACGTACCGTTTTGCGTCCAACTACTTCGGTTCAGGCTGTGTTTGTATGAATAACTTGTTGTGAAACATGGATTCTCCTGGACATCCGCACGCCTAGGGCTAGGCTTGGGTGCCAGCTTCAAGCGGGGAACTCTAGGCGGTAGTTCATGGGCCAGCTCGTGAAGTTCAGTGGATTGCTGGCCCATGTTCCATGATGTTGAATACATCTGGAACACTCCACATACTGTACTTGAAACACCTCACATCATGGGCCGAGCCGAACAAAGGGGAAACTGAGTGGATTTGGACATGGACAAAAATGTTTCCCGTGTCCAGCTGCAGCATGTTCGTCCAACTTCGGAGGTCCTCCTAGTGACTGCACCTCCTGCCATGGCGAGCATCGCACGGCGGGGATGACGATCTTCGTGCGATGACGTCATATCGCTTTACCAACCTACTGGGCGCCACATACAAGGGCGGAAGTTTAGAGCCCCCCTGGAGCGGCAGGAAGAGAGGGCACAAGAAAGAGGCAGCCTTTGAACCCGGGGTCGGTGCCAAACCTGTGTTCGTGTGTGCAGGTGAATTGAGACACACGTTTTTGGGGCTCACCGCTGACGAAGTCTAGGAGAAAGTATGTCATGTCTTTGTTCTGACTCATGAGTCTGTCAGAGCCAGAGGAAAATGGTGCTGGACGCAGCAAGTCATGCGGTTTCTGTTCCAGAATAAGTTGGATGATATTCGAAGTCACCGATTGTGTCAGCATGTGCCAGCAGAATCCGCACGTGACTATGATGTTCTTTTTTTTGTTTCTCCCAGTGTCATGGCAACGCTTTCTTTTCATCTCTTGAACTTTTGTGTGTATCCCATGCACTCCATGTATGCCATATATGCCTACATTGGCCCCCCAAACCACCCCAACTGATCGGCATATATGGCAGTCCCATGGAGCGTCGTCGGGTATGATACTGTATGAGTGAGTGTTTTCTCTTGTCTTGAGTCTTGTGGATTCCGAGGTATACTCCTGATGGCAATGTTCTCCTCAGCCCCGTGGGGAACCGGGTGAACGCCGTGGATTTGGTGCAAGGGAGGCCGGACGGGTGGGTTGAGTCCCCCCACCGCAGAGGACCACCATGGACCCCCCAAAACCACTGGGGTTGGTAATCGGAAAAGGGTCGAAACCACCAGGGTCCATGGAACTGAGGGTCCATGGAATCGTTTGCAGGGGTGTACTACATGGCAATTGAGAAGCTGGACATGGTAGGTCTGTTAGCTTATGTGGCCTGTTCGGCCACATGATGGCTGCTGCACGTGGGGCAGGGATGAGCAATTGCACAATCGACTGCAGTTGGTCACATGTGTTTTCCAGAAACTCACTGAAGGGTTGGTCGTTATAAATATAAAGTCTAGAAGAAGGAGGATGCCAGTTAGCTTTGAGTCGAGTTCCACCATTGAGACCACTTTGTGTTTCATTAATGTCTACTTGAGTTGCTGAGTTGCTACCCTGCAGTAAGATGTTGCAAGTCGGCTGATTGTCCAGCAAATTAAGTTAGTTGTCCTGTTTCTACCCTCTTCCAACCGGCCTTCGACCGACATGGACACTTGGCCACCTCACATGCTGTCAAGGTGTGTCACCTTGGAACCGGAGAACCGTGAGGATGTGGCCTTGTTGGCTCTGACGCAGGTGGGGACGTTTCGTGGTGAGGTCGTTTGCACCGTTTGTAACGTTTGCATATCCGAAGGGTGGCGTTGGTAGGAGGGCCTTGGTGCTCAGGAACTTCAGGTTTGTTGGTGTTACAGCTTGTTTGATCTTCGATGTTCTGTTGGATAGCACGGCCCTGAGGATGGACGACTCCTTTTGTCAATTGACGTGAGTGGCCATGCCCCTTGGTGGGGCGTCGAATGCCTGTGTGGGGCGCATGCAACTGTATAATATACATTATACTATATAGACTCAGACTGAGCTGAGATGATTTAGATGCCACTGAGACGATATCTTCCGAGGGTGTACGGGGGGGTCATTAACTAAAGCATCAGGGACAAGACACAGAACCCTCCCTGAATCTGAGGAGGATTATTTGTGTGGGCGAGTTCAATCACGTTGGTCACCCAGGCCTTGTTGATCAATTTCGTGCGGTGCTCTGTGCTCACGCGGATCAACTTCAAGGGACGAGTGCATGCTGCGAAGTGGAGCCCCAATGGCAAATGGCTGGTGGTAAGCCATGCACGAAAAACCATGCTTTGGAGGACGCAACGATCCATCGTGCAACTCATGGTGGTCTTTAGTGGTCTTGGGCCACAGGTTGCAACCTGCGGACGCCACAGCTTCTTGTAGGTTTTGGAGGCTTGTGTTTGAGGTGTTGGGGGCCCTTCAGAATTCACTTCACGTTTTAGGACTCTAATCTCATCTAATCTCTAAGACCTCGTTTATCGTAATTGTCCTGGTGGGCATGGTGGGCAGGACGCCAACCGTTGAGCTTGGATGGCAGTTTGTCAAAGAGAAAGTGGTGGCCGGTCATCACGATGACGTGGTGGACTTCGCTTGGACCTCCAACTCGAAGTTCTTCGCCTCGAGTTCCAAGGATTGGCTGACGTGCGGCTGTTTTGGTTCAGTCCGTAGATACCAGCAAAAAGCCTAAACGCTCACCGTCTCCAGTCCTGTGGGCTGTAATCTGTAATGTTGCTTGGCCCGCGCACTCTTCGCACCTTTTGAGCACTGTTTGGTCCCGATTGTCAGGTTCATGTCTATGTAATATATATCAGAATCAATCAATATCTTCGGGATTGAGGCTGGAAACCTTGGAACCACTCTAGTTTAGTTTAGCACAATTGGATCTCGATTTACATCCAATCTGCAAGTCATTCTGGGTACCGACTCGATGCGTAAGTGGGAGCACCGCGTGACTCCGCAGGACGGCACGGTGCGCCTTTGGTGCACGGAGTACTTGGAGGACTTTCAGCCCATGGCCTTGCTGGAGCACCGAAGCCCCGTGCGTGCGGTCTTCTTCTCGGAGGACCCGCAGGGGGTTCTTTCTTTGGCGACGGACGGAGCAGGATGGAAGTGCCCGTGCCCAATCAAAGTGGAACCATGGACGTTTGAAACACCATGTTCTTCATCACGTGGACTGTTGAGCAACAAAACCCATCAACAAAAATTAATAAACAGGATTGAATAAGTCTTGCAACCCAAATGATTAATGAAGATTCGGCATTCAAGTGGATCTGTTCCACTTCCATGTTTGCTGGAGATGGTGACGGCCTGTGACAGGGAGACCCAAATGGCGGGGATTTGGGGGCAGGTTCCCTACCTGTCCCTGTGTTTAAAGGGAGGTGAGACTGCGGGGTTCTACCACCCAGTCTCAGCCCAATCCTGGAGGACATGCACTATATCTACAGCATGCACCTTGTTCGAACGTTGGGGTTGAAAACGTGCCACACTTTCTTTCTGACTTCGTTGTTTTGAAACCTATGTACTACATGCCGGAAGTTGGGCATGCCTCCCATCAGCTTTCTTTGTACTACATTTCCGATTTCGTTCGTGTTCCAATTTGCACAGCCATCCAATGCAATATCCACTGCCCTGTGCAGCTGCAGCTACGTTTGACCGTTTGACCATGTTTGACCCATCTCAGGTCCAGAGATGGGGTGCTGGACACCTGGCTGAATCTGCTCGTTCTGAACTGGTGATGTTTCTAGAGCAGGTGGGTCTGTAGCACACCATGGTAAGCCCAATCAGTCCAGTTAGAAGAGCGTCGAGGGGAAAAGAACTAGCCTGCAACCAGCTATACTTGCCTTGTTATGAATTCTTATAGAATGTTGAAACAGATTTTCTTTGATCGTTGAAGCCTTCTTCCAGCCGAATGTGAGGTCGCTGCCAAGTACACCTTGAAGGAGGACACCACGGCTGACGATGAGGAGATTCACTTCTATTGCCGGCCTGGCAAATGGGCGGTGGAATCCAAGGCGCGTGTAATGAACGCAAAGGAATGGAGTGTTTGGCTGGTGAAGTGTGCTGGCGGTTCAACGGAGAAGTCCGGCAGTGAGGGCAAAATGAGAAGGCTCCATTTCAAGGTCCCAAGAATTCCTGAGAATTTCATGGGTGTTAAGGGCATTGGATGCTGGATGATGCTGGACACCATGACACATGGGGAGGGCATTTTGCTCCCGTTTTCGCCTCTTCGGTCCGACCCACGGACTGGTCGGTTGTTGGAGGCCTATTGCCAGCAGCCCATGTACAACAAAGTCACACGCTGTGATTTCGACCGCCAGTCCCGACTGCTGGCAGTGGGCTTCAGTTTAGGCGTCCTCATGCTGTTTGAGACGCTTGGGGCCGAAAAAAAGGGGGGGCAGCACTTGTATAGATGCATATGGCCCGGTCCATGGAGACGATTCATCCCTCGAGAAGGCACCAGGGTTTAGTTCAAGTGGAAGTTCCTCATGTGCATATTGTTATTTGTGGAAGGGGAGTTGAATGTGCGGTTTGCCTCTGCGCTTTAAACTGGGGATTTTTAATCGGTTTGATGGAGGTTTGTAGACTAACCGTAGCCAACCTCCCTGGACTAGAACAGGGATGATCAGACCAATTAGTTCCGAAGAAAGCAGACCAACACCTACAGAATAGTCTTTGGGGGGTCACATCCAAGCATTTGAGATGCATGGCAGAGTTGTCACTTGTCGTTTTTGCTGTGATGGCTCAGGATGCCATCACTACAAGCGCTCCAGACCTTGAGCTTGGGCCAGGAGCGAAGCTTTGCCTTTCGGAAAGGGAGGCAGACAGGCCAATCCTAGTTATCCTGCAGTGCAATTCTCGTATTGGGCACGCATGCAGTACGCAAATATGTATGTACTGTACACAAAATATAGTGCTATATATTGCCATATTCACAATAGTATGCACAATACATACCTCCATTTATTGTTGAAGGCCCTCCAACAATGCGATGTTCCTACCCCGAGCCCACCCAGAATGGACAGTTTCAGTAGCCCTCGCTCACATCAACCCTACCAGTGACTGGTGGACGCGTAGCACAGTCGACACTGCAGGAGGCACTGGATGCCGTGCGCTTGGGGGCCAAGGGTGACTGGCTTGCAGCCCCTTGACGATATAATATGGGGCGCACGACTTGAGTGCAGAACGGATGGCTTGCAGCCCCTTGGGGTGCATGTACTTTCTGGGTCCAATGGCAAATCAAAAAGAACACAGAGCAATTTGATGGATTGCTTTGTGTTGTTGCGATTTTTTGGGCCTTTTGGTTTGCACAACATCGATTTGACCATGTTTCGCGAGCGGTCGGAGGATCAGCTCGCACGTGTGGAAGCTGAGACAGCGGCGGTGGGTGGAAGAAACTTCCGAGTTGGTTCGACTGTTGAGAGATGGGTAGGTAGATGTGGGGGGGCCCGTGCCATTTGGGTAGGACCATGGTAGGACCATTTGGGGATGTTTGTCCTACGTGGTCTACAAGGCTTTTAACTACAAACCATGTTCCAAGACCTTTGTTCTCCGAAGTTGATCCTACCTGTAGCTGCAAGCCTTAGATTTGGCGTGAAGATCCAGCACCGCACGTGCGGAACGGGTGATTTCACAGGAACGGGGCCCTGAGATAGTGGGGCGCGCATCTTTCCCCGCTCCACAGGCCTCAAGTCTTCAGCCTGTCGCTCCTGGCGAAAGCCCTGAGGTTGGATCTGGCGCGGTGGGTCAGCTCCTGGTTTGGGAATGGCGCTCCGAAACCTATGCACCACGGTGGAATAAAGCGGATAGCGAATGGAAGAGCAGCACATTGAGTTCAAAGAGGCTGTTGCATGCAGGCAAATATTGGCCGGGTGCATATCATGTAGTATATCAGCACCTTGTTTTGATGTACCCTATATCCCTGCAGCGCTTGTTCCGCCCTCAAAGCTGCGCCAGAAGCTGCGCCAGAACCAAGGTGCTGAAGCAACAAGGGCACCACTGGGGTGTGAAGTGCTGCGCCTTTTCCCCGGGCGCTGTGACCTTAAAGCGCGGCAAGGCACAGGGCGAGGTCCTGAAACATTTGAATCCTTGAATTCGTTGTTATCTCTGAGGGTCTAAATCACCGCTAACTATAGAGCTGCGTATTTGATTTGAAAGCTTGTTGCCCTGCATACTGATGTAGATACAACATGATACAACAGGCCAATCGCGCATTGGTCAACAGACTGAATGGGGGGACGGCTTGACGGCTTGACACGGCTTCCCTCAGCGATGGTAAACACGCAGTCAGATTAGTGGCTTCACCGCACCTGTCAACTTTAGATACTTTTAGCATGACTCAAGTTTCTTTAGTTTCGGGCATGTGCTTGGATGGTGTGACGACAGGCATGCAAGGATCTTTGCCGTTTTGAGTTGCAGAGATCCGGACACCCCATGAATGATGGGCATGCGTTTTTTTTTAAAGGACAAAATCATCAAAATCTATTAGTTTTACACGTGTCTGGTTACATATGAACACGGTATCACTCAATGTGGGCGTGGATCCCAGGGCCGCCGGGCCCTCGTCACAGGCCTTGGCCAGCAACGAAGCTCGCCCGGAGGAGCGGAGCAGCGCCCTGGGTGGACGGCTCTTAGCCACAGGCGGATGGGTGCAACCGGCCGGGTAGGCCCATCCAATGGGTGGATGACAGGAATTCCTGAAATTGTCTGGAAGTTGTTGGGGTTCGACCAGGAACAGGGTGAATGTTGAAACAACTATATATATATATATATTTTTTTTTTTTGTTGATCACTTAGTGGCGTGGTGGGTTTCGCATGTTTATTGGAAGGAGGAGGTTGGAAAACGAGGGGCCTCCAACAGCGGATATTCGATCCCCACAGGCCACAAGCTGCTGAAACGTGAAACCTGCATCTCAGTGCATCCCAACACTCCTTGACTTGGCATTCCGCTGCCTGGATGTGCCAAACTCCTCAGGATTGAAGATCCAGCTGCCTAGTAGATCCTAGTGGTGTGTGGAAGGGGGTCGTTTGGACCCTTGTGATGATGCGGCGTCCCACTCTGGGCGGTTCTTTCACCGGCCAGGTGGCTATGATGGAAAGGTGAAGCTCTTCAATGCACAAAGTGGCCTTTGCTTCGTCACCTTTGCCGAACACACGGCGCCCGTGCAGCAGGTGTGTTTCACGCCTCAAGGCCGGTTCGAAGACCTGGGGCAATGAAGTGAATTCAAAGGTGGTCGCGAAAGCCAGGTGAGTCATGTTGCGAAGTGCTGGTCTTATGTCATGTTCCGCTTCTTCATGCTTCTTCCCTTGCTCACCTCCCCAACTTCACCTCCTTCACCCACAGGGCTTTCCACTTTCCGAGCCTCCACGGGCCTCCGTCTTCGCCAGGCAATGCGGTGCTGAGCGCCTCCGCGGACGGCTCGGTGCGTGCCTTCGACCTGCTCCGCTACCGGAACTTCCGCACCTTCGCGTCGCCGGACGGGCTGTGCCAGCGCCTGGGATCGACCTGGTTCACGGCCGGTTCGGTGCACCGGTCGGTCCGTGGGGCCAATGGGCTCATGAAGATAAAGACCGTTCGTTCTAAGAACGAAGGTTTGAATATCGTTTGAAGTTTGAGATTGAGGGCTTCAGCCAATGGCCGAGGTTCTCCAGTTTGGCCGTGGATTCTGGGGGTGAGATTGTGGCAGCCAGCGCCAAAGGCCACGATCAGGGACTCACGCGATTCCTGGCGAGAGCGATTTGGATCAATTTGTTGACGTGTTTTACTTGCTTGTCCACAAGTTGTTCGACTCGCACGTCGAGTTGCGCCAGTTCACCCAATTTGTTCCTGGTCCTACGCCACACGCTGTCAAACGGTTGAAGCAAGTGTTTCCACCTGGTCAGGCGGGAAGTATGCCATCTATGTGTGGTCCATCCAGACAGGGAACATCCTTGAAGTCCTCACTGGCCATACATCTCACGTTCAAGCCTTGCACTTCTCCCCCTCTGCGGCGCACCCTGGGCAGCTGGTGAGCGGCAGTTGGGATGGCACCTTGAGCCTCGGCGGTGACAAACCAAAGGAGAGGAACTGGGTCTAGAACGCTCCAAGATGTACACTCCCTGGACCTGACATGGGAGTGGAGAATGGCCCCTTGCAAGACCATTTTCCACGACTACAAACAGGTGGTTTTCCACGTAACCATGTTAGTTCCAGGGAGAATAACCTCTGCTCGGAGGTTGTCTTCCGCGAATTCAGAGATGCACAGAGCCCATCCAGACCCATTGGTGCAGCTTTTTGGAGCGGAGAAGCGAAGGGATCACGTTCGGGTCCTACACATGCGCAGCTCAATATAGGGTACTCCTCAAACCCCCAGCAAATGATTATGATATATTCTGATAATGGATGGAATAGAACCTGTGGGGGGGTTCTATTTTGGAGCCGCATCCACTTGAGCTTCACGCACTTGATGATCCTCCCATTGGCATATGTAGCCGCACAACTTGTGTCAGTGTTTTCAGTAGACAGTCGTTGATCCTAGTCGTATGGTGGCATGGTGGCGGGCTAAAGCCTATCGCGCCTGAAGCGACTATTCTTCACCATTTAGTTTGTGTTTTGGGTGTTCACATGTCGTACTGCATGTACTGCCAGATACCCTGAAAGCCAGGACCCTGAGCATGAACCCTTGCGTTTGCCACGATGTCTCGTAATGTTCATGGATATCCCCCTTAATACTGTGAGTGACGCTCAACCAGGAACGTGTGGGACCTCTATGCGGGCACCCGCGGTGGTGCGGCAGAGGCGCTGCAGTGCTCCTCAAGCGTGCCATGGCACGGAAGAAACGAGCAGTGAAAACATGTGAAAACGAGCATTCGGATTCCGACTGGAACAGTCAAGACTTCGAAGAGGTGCGGGTTTTGCTTGTGGCGTTTGTTCCACGAAGAGTTTTTCTATTTTTTTGGGGGGAGACTCACCATGTTTTTGTGTGGGTGTTCATGCCCAAGCTTTGAGGGGGCTGTGTCCAAGGAAATGTTGCGATGATGGGTGAGGAACCAGAGCCACACTCCACCTAGCTGGGTGTAACTATGTGTAACTTGTTGCTTTGATTTTGCACCTGCTCGCACATTGATCTAACAAAACACACTTATATGTGTATATACACATTCAATCACATTCATATAACACATATATATATATATATACTGAGGTAACTGCCCCAAGGATCATGACCCTTTCTAGTCAGAGAAACAAAGCAATCCGACCAAGACAGACAGATGAAGTACTGAGGATTTATGGGGCTCATGTTGTATATGGCTTTGTGTGTGCAGCATATCTAGGGTTTGTTCTAGACTAGGGGAAGTCAGGGAGCATTTGGTTCACGTTTCTTCTCCAGCCAGTGCTTGACCCAGCCCAGGTTCTATGCGTTTCTTTCGACCCCCGCGGCAATGACCTTCTAGCGGCGAGCTGCCTCTCTGGACAAATTCTTTTCTGGAACGTGACCACGGCACAGACGGTGGGCTCGATCGACGGGCTGCGGGATATTCAGAGCGCCCGGCAGTGGCATGACGCTTGCATTTGTTGATCAGATGTTGTTGCCAGCACCTCCCAGACAGGCTTGCAGACCTCCTACCATGTGTCCATTTTAAAGCATTTTAAAGCCAATCCTGTCGGAGTTGCTGGCAGATGATGTTGTTTCACAGCTGGAAGCACATGGTTGTGGAACATTACTGCTACACCCAAGCCATTTCTGTCAGCACCGGCCCTTCCTTTGCTCGGTGCATCCGAGGACATGTTTTCAGCCATCAACGCCAGAGGCGTCAAAGCTGGACGTGGCATGCGCAAACGAAGCTTGGCTCGGAACAGGTCAGCTTGGCTGGGACGCGCGACGCGCTAGGGTGTTGGTGTCATCGAGGTATATAGATGGAGATAACATGAGATAACTTACGTGGAACCAAATTGAGTGTAATCGCATGCCAGAGTGTCTCGAAATGAGTCCAATCGGACACTTTCGCATGTGGTACATCCCCTTGATCTTTGAGGAAAAAGAGTGCGAGAGTGATATCCAGTAGATTACAGTAGTGTTTTTCTTCTGTTTTTCTGACATGTATATACTTTCAGTTTTCTTGCCGGGTACTGGTTTCAACATCAATGCTATCAGGATCCCATCGTGTTTTGTTCAGATGCAAGCTTCACCCAGATGGACCAGTGACTGGTCTGACGAACATATCCAAGTTCACAACCATTTTGGGGGCTGCGTTGCGCCATCCATGGTGAAATCACAACAATCAGTCTAATCAGTCAGCATTGTCGGGCTTTCGTGCCGCCATGTCCATCCCCCAACAAACCTGAACATCAGCCTCAGACTTGCACAGTGATAATTAACGTTATAGCTCCCCTTACCTCCCTTTGTTGCACCGTGGCCACTGGTTACCGGCATGACGGGGAAATGAACAACAGGTGAGACCTTCTTCACATCAGCAGATTCACCCAAAAGCATCTCAGCGTGGTCCTAAGGCAATCCCACAGATGGGCTGAACTTCAATCAGCATTACAATTCGATAGCCTATGCCAAAAGTGGCGAACTGCTCCTGTGCTCTTCGCAGAATTCGCCTTCGGTCTCGCTCTATGAGCCTTGGAGGTGCTGAAGGGAACTTGCCCAGCAAGACAGGTTGATATCACGAAATCTAGCTTCAGCTACATGGACTTACTCTTGTTTTAGCAATTTTTTGCCTGGGGGATGGATTCGGCTACCCAGTGAATTATCCACTGCTATACCCCCCCTCCCCGGCCTCCTCCGCAGGTTCAACTCCCCTTTTGGACCTGTCAGATTTGGGAGCATAGTGGTTTTGATAGCATCCGTTTAGGGGCCATTGTGTTTCACAGGATCATGCCGCGCATCCCCCTTCGTTTTAAGGCCATGTAATTAGATGCAGCTAGCTTTCGTCACCAACCCCCGGCCTCAAGTATAGAAGGCAGGTGTTTTGTCAGGCCCTTGCACATGTTTGCTTTTTGGCTCGAGGATACCACATCATATGCATTGACCTCCAGGGTGACACTGACTAGCAACCGGAGCTTGAGTGGAGTTCAGGCATTCCTGAACAGTAGCTGGGCACAAGATTGCCTGGTTCCAGGCCGAATTTCATGACGTTATGGTCTTGGTTCTGTTGGGTTTGATGCTCACATGATTTCCAATCAGCACCTGCTGCATTCTACTCCTGGCAGATTTGATGTCCTGCCCACGTGCCTCCCAGGTAAGTTCATGACAGAGGCTGGCATCTCCTGGAAGCAGTACGACCTGTCAGACAGTGAGGCAGATGACCTCCAAGTCTTCAAGGAACAGGCGAGGTCCTGGCAGGTCCTGCAAACTTTCGTCTCAGAGAGAGAGAGAGAGAGAGTAACAAGTGCTACCCCAGTAGCAACAGGTGCCTTACTAGTAGTAACAAAAAGCTATTAGAAACAAGTGCCTTACTACTAGTAACAATAAGAATTTAATTAGAATTCTAATGGTAAGGCACTTGTTACTACTATGACAGACAGACAGACCAGACCAGACCAGACCAGACCAGACCAGACCAGACAGACAGACAGACAGAGAGAGATAGAGAGATAGAGAGAGATAGAGAGATAGGTAGATAGACAGATAGATAGAGATATAGATATAGATATAGATAGATAGATGACAGAGAGTGAGAGATAAGATAAATAAAGCTATATATATATATGTATATGCATGTATTTGTTTATATTTATATACAGACACAGGATCACACAGGGCAGCTTAGTCAACCTGGATCGAAGGTGTTTCCGCCTCCTCCTCCGCCTCCTCCTCCTCAGGCGGACCTACCCAGAAAATATGTTCGGGATTTGACGGAGCTACTGGCTAGTCCGGTTGGATACCCAAGCTTTCGACAAAGACCGTTGACATGGGCGAGTTGCAGGATGATATGCCTCTAAAGAGGTCCAACTTTGGAGTTAGTAGTGCTTCTGGACTTCTGTGCGTGAGAAGGCCGCTTGGAAGGAGTTACTGCCCGCCAGTCAGCAAAATCGATTGGTTAAAATTACAAGCCTACTACTTCATACATCACTTGATCCCAACGGAGGAGGTAGACACACTTGAATTTTCGGTATATATGTTGCAGCTTGGCACCGGCGGTAAATTCCCCCTTACATTCCGTCGACGGGCTTTGTCGAACGGCCATCCTGAGCACCAGCAGGAGCGGCGGCGGAAAGCACTTGCCTTGCCAGGCGTCTCGGTTGGAGAAGCCAAAGAGCCTTGCTCGCAAGATGGCACAAGTGGAAGGCAAGTTTGGTTGAGAAAGTGGGGACCGGAGCCTTGGGTTGGATAGCTTGGGAAGAGCCAGTGGAGAACATAACGAGGCTCCGTGATGGTCTGTTTGAAGGCAGCTACAGTTAAAATATGTTAAAATTGAACTTGTCCCATGTTGTATAGCTTTCGCGTTTGGAGTAGGGGCCCTTGCTGGCTATCATCTTCCGCTGGGCTCCCTGGGGTCAGGGGCTTTCTAGAGAAAACATCCAAGGAGGTAAGTCAATGCTCCACCCTTTTCCTGGTCCACCCAGGTGCTTTTTCCTCATCAGCCCCAGGCATGGGCCACGTGTTCACCCCGATCCATCCAGATCCACCCAGGATGCCTACTCCGACAAGGAGCTTCATCTTTGGAGTGTTGCCTTCAGTGCTGATTCCCAGCAGTTTGCGGTGGCCACCACTCATGGGGTCTTCGTGTACAGCCAGGCCGGCTGCCTGGAATCCTGGAATGTGAAAGCACGCGACGCTGAGAGAAAACGACACATCGACATCGATCCTGGAAGACACAGCAATAGGCTAATTAATGTAATTGAATGTATGTAACGGAGCAATGAGATCCTGGAAATGGAACACGCTAGAAATATCCTACACTGCTGCTACAAAAGACACAACCTGGCCCAATGAAGAACATTTGTCCTTCACACAGCCAAAGTTGGCGAGAATAGAAACATGTATATTATATAGTTTTATTTGTCACACTATAATGTGTTTAAACTATTTTTTGTATATTGCGTTGCATTATATTGTTTGCATCCTCTCCAGGATGCTGGTGGCATCGCGGGCATCTCCGGCGGGATCTATGGCGGTGACAGTCGCTTCGTGCCGCAGATCCTGACCAAAGCGGTGTCCGCACCGGCGGTGCTGAAGGCGGACCACTGGCACACTGGGAATTGGTGATTTTTGGTCCGTGGGCAACGAAGTACCCCTAAAAGGGTCCTGAGATGGGAACTTACCAATTTGGGGGTCCCTCTCTCTCTCTCTTTCGTTTTTTTGCCTATAGGGGGCCTTGCAGATTTCCAGCCTCGTTACCCATGCTCCTTGACCGGGTCCAAGGCCTTGGAGGACGGCGAGATCTCCAAGGCAATGATCCTGGCTCTGGCACTGAACGACTATGCCCTGTTGCGAAAGGTCTATGAGCAGGCGTATTGGGTCTTGCCGGACTAATATTGCTGTCCACTTGCGATAATCCAATGTATAGGTATAATAGCATATACATAGCTGTAGTGCGTGTAGACTAGGTCCTTGGTGGTGACACATGCGACCTTTTTGTCATTTGTGCTATTTTTCGCCTGCTTGCTCAAATCAACAAACTCCAGGGGTTCTTTCGGGTCCCCTGCGCCGTGCCTCCCTTTTTGGGTCAGCGGTCCCGGTCCCGGTCCATCTGTGTCTTCGCAGGTCCCCGTGTCCTCCATCGAGCTGGTGGTCGCTTCGATCGGTGCTCCCTTGCTGCCGGCGCTGCTGCGGTTTTTGAGCCTTGAGCCCCTCTGCTGCGGAGTGGACCGATGGAGCGGTGAAGAAACACCCAAGGAGACCATGCGAGACCCAGAGAAAGAATAAGTCCAACCACTTGGGGAAAAAATGTAAACTAGATTAAACAACTAGAATTGATATGAATTGATGGGCCATTTGGTTGGACCTAATTCTGTAAGGGCACATTAGGACCACCAAAGGCCGTTTGGGAAGCAGACATGAAGTGCCGCTTGAAACATTGGCAGGGCCCACACGTCCAAACTCCAAAGTCGATTCATCAGAGAAGGCTCCAGGCGAGCTGAGCCGCTTTTGAGCTGTGTTGCGTTCGCAATGGCAGTTTTCAGGCTGAAGCCTCAGACAGGGACGCCACATTATCAGTTCCACGTGCTTTGGATCTCCTCTTTGATCGATCTCCACTTCCAGACCTTGCTTGAGACCCTTGGACATGTGAACCGGAATGGGGTGGGAGATGCTGGGAATTTGGACACACCTGGGACGCTGGAGGGGCTACAGTGGAAAGAACCTGGGGCAACTTCGGGTCAGCTTGCGATTCTCAGCTTGAGGAGGGTGTTGAAAAGACAGCTATATAGCTGCCTAGCTTAGCAACCTAGCAACCAGAAACGAGGACACTGTCATGAAAAAGCGACGGAACGCTGTCAGACAGTGCTGAGCAGAGGATTGGACGGTTCGACAAGTACATGCTATTCATGGCGATCCACTGAGAATTCACTAATTAGATATCAACAGTCAACTTACTTGAGTATCCACCTTGCCACAGGCATTGAGGGCTCAGCGCAGAGATCATCATGTTCATGCTTCTTTTGGCACCAGGGCCTGTTCGCAATTTTTTGCCTCGAGCGCTGTAACCGGCTTTGATTGAACCCTATACAGTACCACGTAGCTCTGGAGTCAGGCCCTGATCCCTGATTGCAACTTCTTTTGTATCTTTGAATCGTCCCCTTAGCTCGTCGCATTGCATTGCTTGGTGGCCCTACTTATTTTGCTTTCGGAGTCTGGATGACAGGGATTGAAGTTTGAGGGATTCTGAGGGTATTCTTATCCAAAATACAATATTGTGAGGTCTATGCATCCTAAGCGAATTCTGCCAACCTGGAGGCTAGGTTGATGGGTTGATGCTATGTGTACTGCAAGGGCAAGGTTTGGGCTGCACATAATGAATCTATATACTAAGACGTCAATAACAACCCCCAACATCCCCAACCTACTTTGGTCATAATTCAGTTTTAATTCAGAAACCGTCGCAATACCCAAGAGATCTGTAAGGCCCCTCCCCTACAAAAGAATCCTCACCCCATCACATGCATCCCTTCAGTTCGCTCAATCCCACTTCAGTCCGCTTTGGAATCACTGGGTGGCGACCCAGGATGAGCAGCGGCCGGGCGCTTCGAACTGGTTCTTTGGAATCCTCCAGCTCCGATGTGGCGGCACTATGCTTGCAGTTGCTTGGGATACGATCTAGTAAATCTAGTAAAACCGTGAGCCAAACATGGTTCTGGTCTTTGTTTTCCACTTTGAGCGGTGTTGGAGTGAGGATGCACTTCCCTGGTGCAATCAGTGCGCCCACTTTGGAAGGCTCCGTAAAGAAAAGGAGGGGTATTTATTTTTGGATTTTTTGTGTTTTTGCTGGTGGCTTTTGGCTTTTGGTGGCTTTTGGCTTTTGGCTTTTGTTTCTTTGTTGGCTTTTGGTGGCTTTTGGCTTTTGGGTTTTGTTTCTTTGTTGGCCTTTGATGGCTTTTGGTGGCTTTTGTGGCTTTTTTGGCTTCCCTTGCTTCAAAGCGGTGCTGCTAGGAAGGAAAGAAGGAAGGAAGGAAGGAAGCATGTCCATGGTTTTGAGGGCATTGTTTTTTTTAAAATCTTTTTTTATCCAGATGCCGTTCTCGGTGGCTCTACCAATTCACCAAGCTTTCAACCTGCCTTCGCTCTGAAACATTCATATGTCCTGCCGAACCCCGCTCCAGTGGAATCCATCTATCTACCTTTGTATACGTGGGCTGGACAGAAAAGAGAGTTCATTCATTCGTTCATTCATTCATTCATTCCTTCCTTCATTCCTTCCTTCATGCCTTCCTTCCTTCCTTCCTTCATTCATTCATTCATTCATTCCCTCACTATATTTTGTTTTCATGGCGGAGGAGGCGTTGCGCCGTCCCCGTGCCCCCTCCCACTTTTTAATTTAGGTGGTTGCTTGCTTCATGTGTCAGCATGCCCTGGGTTTGCCGTTAACTAAAACAAAAAATGCGAAAAGGCAACATGAAAAAGACAAAGGGAAAGGCAAAAGGAATTAAGGAAAAGGAAAACATCAAAAAACAAGTAGCTTCTTGTTCCTAGTAGTAAGGCCAGGAGCCCCTAGTAGCCTCCTTGCTCCTAGTAGCGATGCCAGAAGACCCTAGCAGCTTCTTGTTCCTAGTAAAGAAAAAGGAAAAAGGCAAACCAAAACAAAAAAAGGGGAACGAAAAAAGGGAACAGGACAAAAAGCAAAAGAGAAAAGGAAAACGTAAAAAGGACAAAAGGAAAGGAAACAGAAAAAGGAAAAGGGAAAGGGAAAAGGAAATGAAAAGAGCAAAAGAAAAAAGGAAAAGAGAAAACACATAAATAAAGTCAAAACAAAAAGGAAAGGGAACAAGGAAAAGGAAAAGGAAAGGAAAAAAGAAAAGGAAGAGGAAAAGGAAAAAGGGAAAAGGCAAAAGGAACAGGAAAAACAAAAAGGAAAAGAATACAGGCAAAGGACAAGGGAAAAGGAAAAAGGAAAAGGAAGAGGAAAAAGGAAAAAGGAAAAAGGAAAAGGGAAAAGGAAAAGGGAAAAGAAAACGGGAAAAGGAAAAAACAAAATAATCAATGGAAAACAACCGAAAAAAAAATAACAATAAAAAACGAAAAAGAATCCAGAAATAAATTCGCAGCCTAAAGAAAAGGTCCCTCAACACAAGCTGGGGGACAGACACGTGATGATTTGGGGAGTACCTTATTGCAAGTCAGACAGCCTCAGGTCAGCTTGGTCCAGTTTTTGCGTGGTTTTGTTGTTGAAGTGTGTCCAGCACTTAAAATCGGCACAGCTGAGGCTGCTGGTGGAATTGTCCCAGAGACATGCTGCCTTGGCCGATATGAATGAACCCAGGGTCCTGTCAGTCAGAGTCCAAACGAAGGGAACTCCAATTCTCTGGAGCATGGGTTTCCCGAACCTTTTTTAATGACAGAACAGGATTGACCCTTTTCAGGATTGACCCTTTTGGCCGCCCATATTTTCAGCAGCTAGGCACCATCAGGCACCCATACTGATCACGAGGTTCCCATCGGCTTCACATGGAGTGGTGGAGTTTGTTCTGATATTTGATGGTTTTGGCATTGTTTTTCTGGTGGTGTACATGTCTAAGCGCTGGAAGGGCCGGGACACTTGTGGAGGGAGCCATGCGGGTGTTATACCCCGTATATAGGGATGATCATGTGGTGGAAAGACCGAGTTGGCACATTTGTTCAAGAAATGTCACTTGCTGGGGGCGATTGATTGCTTGCACATTCAACCAAGAAGCCGGTTGCGAAGTTCGTTCGTGCGGTGACTCTGGGCCGGGCCTGCAACAAGTTTTGCCTTTATATGCCCTAAGGCACTATTTGTGTTGCACGCGTTTGCCTTTCGAAGTTTCATCCTGGTGAGTTCATAAATGCCTTAGCCCAACCATCTTTCACGTGCTAAGGCTGGTATGTCCAAAATCTTTGAGAAGAATACCTACTCGCTGCGCATCTTGGTGACAGCAGGTTCGTTGTTTTGTTGGTCAGTTGCTCGCTCACATGGTGCACGGTCATTGTTCCAATCATGTTGTGGTGAATTGGAGTCTCTACAAGTCTGGTCTTTGGGCAAGTTGCACAATTCGCTGACACAATTCGCCAATTGGAAGAACCCCATGCCAACCTGTCACGGACCCAACGACCTTGTGGCAGCTCAGGATTCCTGGGCAGTGTGCCCAGTGAGACCGGAGACGAAGAGGTAGGGAATGAAGGTGGGGAGGCTCAGAGAATCACGGAGAGGGACCAGCGCGCCCAGGACCGCCGACCAAGGACAGCGTGAGAAGACGATGAGAGATACTCAAGAGGCCCACCACGAATTTGAGGCATGTGTTTTCACTGTTTGATGCCGGAACCCTCTACCTCTTTTTCGTCAGGGTATTCGGATGTGATTAGAGGAACTCAAAAGCATCACGGTTTCCTCGTGCCAAGAGGAGGAGAGAGAAGATCAGAACTAGATGATGTTGATCCGGAAGTTGTCAGTAAAAAGTGATCACTGCAGGTAAGGAGATCAAGGAGGAGACGAAGCCAGCTCCAGATTTAGAGGCGATACGAGCTGAGGGTTCTGGGTTGCTCTGGCAGCCTTAGCCTGAAGGTCACAGCTTGGTCGCCAGCACATACCGAATCTTGAAGTCTTAATGCATCAAATGCAGGAGAAGGCTGGTTGCAGTACTCATTATCCGACATATTTTCAGTCCGGGAAGATACCGAGTTGCCTTTCTTCTCAGCCAAGCAGCCGGTATCGAACTATATAGAGAGCTCTTTCCAGCCAACATCCCGCCACAGAGGGCCCGCCTGCTTCACACTGACACCGCCCTGAGCGCAAACGTTGACCAGCATCGGACAGGAGGAAGCTGAAGCCGAAGCTCCACTCGTTGAAGAAGCCCCTGGTCGACAAGGTTGCAAAGAGGTGTGTTTCATTTTGGTTTGCGGAGGGGTGCGCTGGATAAAGGTCAAGGGGGGGTGCCTGTGAACCCCTCTGTTCAAGAAAGTGCCCAGGCTGATTTCCAGCTCATATACCACACGTGGCTATATTATTTTGATGAGTAGGATTATGTGTGAGAGGATGCAAAAAGGTTTATGCATGCGTGTGTTATGTTTCAATGACAGTGCTCCACAAACTTTCGATTCTAGCCCACCAATGTGGGGTGATGACCGCCGTGTTAAGTGGTCGATGACACATGGTGACATGGAGCTGTCGTGGTACCACTCCAAGGAACCACAGCTCGCTGCGCCAAAGAAAAAGAAGAAGCGCCGCTTGAATACCTGAGAAATGCCTCACGCCAAAAAAAAAATGTGAGTTTGCTGCCGACGATGTGTTGCCAGGTGGATCTATAGACCAGGTGAGAGGGACATTCATTGATGTTTAATCAGATCTTATGAACAGGAATAGCCGAGCCTGGCTCTTCGTGCCGACCAAGGAGAGGTCATTCCCCAAGCCCCAACCACTTACAGACTCACAGAGATGGAGTTTTCGCTCACTCAACTTCTTATGAACTCGTGCTTAACCAAGGCTGGGACGCTGCGAAGCTTGGGGGGGCGGTGCTTCATGTGAAGCTCAGAACCTTCTCTTTCACCATGTAGACTCGACAGAAAAATACCCCCCTGATGGTGGCACACGCCACAGGTGGGAGACCTCCTCGGGTGGTCGCCCTTGCCATCTCATAGGGTTCAAGAAGCTGTGGAGTGGAATGCTAGCGGCACAGTCTCACACCTGAGTTGTGAAGAGGTTCAGAGGTAGAAGAGGTTTCACCATCCAAATGGTAGTTTTTTGTGATATAATTCATCGATCATTTGCATTTAAC